ATAAACACCCCGCACCCTGAGCTCTCCCTGTCAATCGCCTCCAACGCCCGGGTCCCCCAGGAACAATCCAGCCCCCAGCCCAAAACAACCCCCTCCCCAAGACCCCTCCTGGGAGCTGCAGTGGCAGAAGGAGCCAGGGAGACAGAGACATTATTATTTGTTATTGTTTTTGCATCTCGGGGTGCACAAGCGCACCCCAGCCCCAGGGATCAGCCGCCGCCTGCTCTATCCTGCCCCCGCAGGGTGGGGGTCCAGCAGACCCCTCGGCGGGGATGGGGGGCTGCTGATCAGCCCCGGTGTGGGGCTGGCGGGAGGGTCTCCCTGGCCCCCCTGTTCCCCCCGCAGCGATGCCGACGGGGGCCCCTCTCCCGTGGGTGATGCTGCCGGGGGTCTCCCCTGCGCCCCACGGCGACGATGGCGAGGGACCATCCTGCCCCCCAAGGCGACGCCAATGGGGTCTGCGCAGCCCCGCRCGGCGGAGCAGACCCCATTGCCCCACGGGGGGCACGGAGACGTGTGTGCCCCCCAGGGCAAAGCGGCCGGGGTCCCCGCGCTCCCCGTGGCGGTGCCGCCGGGGGTCCCCGGAGCCCCCCGCGGCGGTGCCACCGGCACTGCCCGGCCGGGATGCTGGCGGGGGCCTGGCTGCCACCCCCGCGGCGGCGGCCCCCCCGCCTGGGTCATTACCCATTCCAGTCCTGTTGCTCTCATCAGTTCCTGCCGCAGAGAGGAGGGGGGGGTCCTTCCTGGTCTTTCCTACCCCYTTTTTTTTCCCGAATCATCCCGATCTGAAGGCGGCTGCTTTGCTGCATCACAGGGGCTGCCTCTGCCCAAGCCGGGGATGGGGGTGTCCCCTCTCCTGCCCCCCGATCGCCCCCTTTGCCCTGCTCCCCCAAACCCCTCTTCCAGCACACGGACACGTCCATCCGTGGGGCAATCAGTGGGGCAGAGATGGGGGGATCGGGACAGCGGGAAGAGCCAGGTGCCCCCCAGGACACCAGGGCTGGGAAGGGGGGATCCGGTGGTGGTGGGGGGGGGGCAGCTGGGCTCCGACCGCCTCGCTGTGCGTGACACGTGTGTCCCCGCGCGTGCCCCGTGTCGCCGCGCGCCCGCCCGCGCCCCCGCTCCACGCGCGCGCCCCCGCGGCCGTGTCCCCGCGGCCCCCCGCCCACGCGCGGCCCCGCGCGCCTGTCCCCGCAGTGGTGATCGAAGATGACCGGATAGACGAGGTGCTCAAGGGCATGACGGAGAAGTCGCCGTCGGGGGTATAAGCCGGGAGGCGCCGCCGGGACCCGCTCGCCGCGCGCCGCTCGCAGCCCCCTCGGCCGCGCATGCTGGCTGCACTGAGGACGAGGAGGGGGGGGCCGCCCCCCCGCGCGCCCCCCCCCCCGGCGGTCGGCGGGGGGGTCCCCGCGGGGGCGGGCGCACCCGGGACCCCCGGCGCCGAGGGCTGCTGCCCAGAGACATTTTTTGCTCCATCGTTTTTGCATGAGCTTGGCGGCCCGGGCGCCCTGTCCTGGTGCCGAGGGTCATCCCCACTCCGGCACGCTTCTTTTTAAACAGAAAACTCCTCATATTTGTATTTTTATATCCGAATCTTTGTTAAAAAAAAAACGATCTGCTGACGTCGAAATGTTGAAGTACTGCAACGGGGGCGGGGGGGGGAGGCAAAACAAAACAAACACACAAACAAAAAATGGTTCATATTTTTTTCCATAAGAAAAAAAAAAAAAAAAAAGAAGAAAAAAAGAGAGAAAAGGCGAGAGAGAGATAGAGGGAGCGCGAGAAAAATATAAACCGTGGGAAGCCCAAGCGCGGAGGCCCCGAGCCCGGATTCCCCCCGGCGAGGCCGGGCGAGCCGCGAAATCCGCGGCGGGATCCGTCCCCGGCAGCAGCGTCGGCCAGGCCGGGATGTGGCGAATGTCCTTGGGGCTCCGCAGCCCCCCGAGCCCGGCGGCTCCCGTCCGGCCGC